ATTTTAAATTTTAAATGTCTATAATATATAATTTACATATAAAGTATAAAAAATCAAATTACATAATTGAAAAAAAATTATTAGACTTAAAACAAAAATTATAATTAAATTTCAAATGTTTCGAAGTTAAAATAAATATTTTAAAAATTAATTTAGAATGTTAATGTGAAATAATTTAAGAAATTAAAAATTTAGAATGTTATGGTGGCAAATTTTAAGAAATTAGGAATTTAGAATGTTAGAGTGAAATAAATTGAGAATTATAAATAAAAATTTAATTTAATATATAATATATATATATATATATATATATATATATATAAACCAGGTACCAGGTATGCAAGTACCCGGTTAAACAAAATTTTGTTATATTAAATTGAAATTAGGGTCTAATTAAAAACTAAGAAATAAAGTTAATCTTGGTGATCAAATTGATTAATTCTAAAATTTAGGGGATTTAATCTACAAAATTAATACATTACTAGAATAAAAAAATAAAGTTAAAGATCAAATTAAGGCATTAGACAAATTAAAACAAAATCAAAATCAAATTGGATTAAATGAAAATCCAAGAAAACACATCATATACAAGTAGTGGCCAAAATAGAAGAAAACAAAGCAGGGTACCAGCGCCGCAAATACATAACTTTACAAGGACTCACACCCTAATTATACTAATTTTTTAACTGTCACGTAAACACCTCCATTAAACGTTAACATCGTGTGGCCATTTTGAATCCATTTAAATAGTTCAGTGGTATATTTGTCACAATTTTGAAAATATTGGTAATTTCGCGACCTAACCTATAGTTATGTGGTCATTTATGTAGTTTACCCAAATTTTAAATTATTCAACTTAACTTTTTGTTTTCATGTAACTCATAAAATATATATCATCTATAAATATAATTGTTCTAAAATGAATCTTCTCAAAAGAAAGAATATTCTTTTTTACCATTAAAATTATTTGATGAATTTAATTTAATTTATTTTAAAATATTATGCCAAATACCAATAAAAAATATGTCTATTTATACAATCAGATGATTCTTTTACGCTCAACGAGTTTCGATGGACACTATTAACGATGATCACCTTTAATTTATTTTATAAAAATTTAAATTCTAAAGAGTCAACGTATAATTATAAATTAGTTAAAAATTTAAAGGTAAATTATTAGGGTAAACTGTACCAGTGACCACCCAGTTATAACCAATTTTCATTTTGACCACAATTTTTGAATTCTTGTCAAACATGTCACCCAATTATTTAAATGCATTCAATCATGTCTCTTGCCGTTAACATTTAACTATATTCAATTTTTCAATAATATGACAACACGTGTGACAATATTATTGGAGGGTTTTTTAAATTTAATTTATGTTTAATTTATATCATTGGAGGGCTTTTTTAATTTAATTTATTTTTAATTTAAATATTTTTTCTCCAATCAGATTGTTACGTGGCACCACTTAATGAAAGGAAAATAACTTGAACAAAATGGTTTTGTGGGAAGTCAAACATGAAATTTCATGGTGGAGAAGCAACGCCTCAACCACTGCACCAACACCAATTTTTGGTTTAATATTTATAACATTCAATATGTATCTTATACCATAATGTAAGGTGGTCAAAATACTTGAACCCCACGGGTCCCTCCTTGATCCGACCCGATCAGGATGGTTTTTTTTTAATTTTCAAGGCTCGGAGCACGTTATGTAATAAAAAAATTCGGAGTGGACGTGGCCGGATTTAAGGTGAAAAATCATCGACCCGACCTGAAATGGTTATTATATATATATATATATATTATAATTAATTTTTTAAGAATTTTTATTTTTATATTATTAAAATTTATATTTAATTATTGAAAATATAAAATATAATATAAAATATATTAATTTAATAGTTTAAATATAATAAATATTTATAAATATATTATTATAAAATATATTATGTTAATTATTTTATAATATTAATATATTCGGGTCGGGTTTTTAATCTAAAAATCAAGGCGGGTTCGTGGCGGGGAAAAACATAAAATTCATTGAGGCGGAGCGGGATCGGGTTGTACATATATATTTTCGGGTCGGGTTCGGGGCAACCAAAAACCCATCCCACCCCACCCCGTGCCCATCCCTACGATAATGAAGGTCAAAAAATGAAAACAAAAATAATATATTTATATCGACCAAATTCGAATATATATATAAGGGTAAACTAATTATTTTATACCAAGACAGGTCGATTCAATATTTTTTACCTTAAACTCGGCCCGCCTCACTTCGACTCGATTCAAATATATTAATATTTTAAAATAGTTAAAATAATACATTTATAATTATTTCGACCAAATTCGAATATATATAAGGGTAAACTAATTATTTATACCAAGACAGGTCGATTCAAATTTTTACCTTAAACTCGGCCCGCCTCACTTCGACTCGATTCAAATATATTAATATTTTAAAATAGTTAAAATAATACATTTATAATTATTTATTATAATTTAAATGGTAAAAATACTATATTTTTACCTTAAACCTAATATAATTTGAATATATATAAGGGTAAATTAATATTTTATACCGGGCCAGGTCGAGTCAGTGTTTTTTACCCGATCTCGCCCCACCCTGCCCCGAACATGAATTTAAAAAAAAACGCAATGATAACAATTTAATACAAAATCGACGGATTTCGACCTGACCCAATTAAATAAGGTCATTACAGGGTGGGTGGGGTTGGGATTAAGGTAAAAATCACCGAATTGACCCAACCCGACCGATATAAAATAATTAGTTGATCCTTTTATATATATATTCGAACCTGGTTGGTTTTAATATATTATTTTGTTTTCATTTTTTTTACCTTCATTATCGTATAAGATATATATCGTATGTTGTAAATATTAAACTAAAATTGATGTTGGTGCAGTGGTTGAGGTGTTGCTTCTCCTCTATGAAGTCCCATGTTTAACTCCCCCACAAAGCCATTTTGATCCAAGTTATTTTCCTTTCATCATGTAGTGTCACGTGTTATCATCTGATGGAGAGAAAAATATTTAAATTAAATATAAATTAAATCAAAAAGGCCCTTCAATGATATTGTAACATGTGTTGTCATATTATTGGAAGATTAGATATATTAAATTAATTTAAAATTATGACAAATTTCATAGATTGTGTAGATAATAAGGACTAAATGTGTAATCATACAAATTTTATTAACTGTGACTTCAGTAAATGGCTGTCCCTTGTTCCCATATATAATGGGGTAAGGAGGAGGTAAGATAATAGGCTGCCCCCAACACCAGGTTGAGAGCAGCTTCCGTAGAAAGACCTCCGAATTATGAAATGCCCTCCGTGGGACTCGATCCCACGACCTCAAGGTTAAGAACCTTGTGCTTTACCAACTGAACTGGATAGTCATCTCTAACTGTCACTTCAGTACTTCTGTTAAATGTTAAAGGCAAGTGACCTGATTGAGGTAAACTCTACCAGTGACCACCCAACTATTGTCGCTTTTCATTTTGACCACAATTTTTGAATTATTGTTAATCAGGTCACTCAACTATTTAAATGCATTTAATTAAACTACTTGTCGCAAATATTTAATGGAGAAGTTGATGTGGTAGTTAAAATATTTGGTATAATTTCACATTTGGTCACTATTACTTATATATTATATCAATTTGGTCTTAATTTTAATAAATTAAAATGAACTTAACCCTCAAAACAAATAACATATTCCGAAATTTGGTCGGTACCACATCATAAATAAAAAATGACCACCAAAATAGTAACATCACTGAAAAAAAATCAATCAACCAAAATTATTATACGTATAATTAATGTTTCCGAGAACAAAAATTTGCACTAGATTATTACTTCATTTATATCATTTTGGTATTTCATTTATTCGTTTAATTGATTTACATATTTTCCAATTTAATTTAATGTTTTGAAATTTACTTTAATTCAATTGAAATTAGTGTAATGAAAAAATGTCCAGAGATATGCTCGCAAAGTTCCACGATTCCTGCAAATATAACTAATTCAAGTTATAGTTACTATTAACTGTTTTATACTATTTTGAATAAATTTATTGAAACAAATTTAGCTTCTAAAATTAATATAAATTACGTATTTCAATTAGGCACACAAATGGAATCAAGGAACGCGTTGATGGTAAGTTCCAGTGACACATGATACCATTTGATTTAAGGGTTAAGTTTATTTTAATTTATTAAAATTAAGACCAAATCGATAGAATATATAAGTAAAAGTGACCAATTATGTAACTATATAAAATATTTTGACTGTCACATCAACTTCTCCGTTAAATATTAACGGCAAGTGGCTTAATTGAATGTATTTAAACAGTTGAGAGACCTGATTGATAAAATTTCAAAAATGATGGTCAAAATGAAAAAGAACAATAGTTAGGTGGTCATTGATATAACTTATCATTTATTTTAAATAATTTATCATTAATTTTTTAACTAATTTATAATTATACGTTGAGAACTTTAGAATTTTAAATTTTTATAAATTAAATTAATAGTGATCATCGTTAGTGGTAATTATCGATGCTCGTCGAGCATCGTAAAATTTTTCTATACAATCAGACCTACTTTAGCAAAGCACCAATGGAATCCAAAGCAAGGTCCAAACTGATAGATTACAAAAGTTTTTAAAGTTAAAAATATTATTACATCACATCACTTCATTATTCAATCTAATATTTAGCAATTAATAATTTATTTTTCGTAGTATTTTAATTCAATGATTTGTTATTGAGTGTTGACATGAGTGGTTGAGATTTAAAAATTTAAACTTGTAAGATGAATGTAGGATTGTCTTGATAAACAATATGTAACTCCCAATTAAGTCCCTTATCATTGAATGTGATCAGTTGCGTCTTAAACCAGACTATTTAATTTCGCTGCATAAACTTATATTGTTTCTGCAACATTTTTGTCATAATTCAGACGTCCCTAGGAAAAAGCAGACATTTAAAGTGATGGGGAAGCTTGTTTCAAGCTGGTACAAAAATAAAACTTTGCCTGAATCTCACATCTTCCCACCAGAAACAAGACCCGGCAACCTTATTGTTCCCAGAGGCAAAAACATCCCAGTAATTGATCTCAGTGAAGCCGAGGGTCGAAATCGAACCCGTATCGTTCAGCAGATCTTGAAAGCCGGCGAAGAGTATGGATTTTTCCAGGTAAAAGCACAAAGAGATTTATTATCAATTTCACATGACCTATAATAACTGTTTTGATTTGGATTCATAACATTAAAGGGTTTGATCTTTATAAACAGGTTGTTAACCATGGAGTTCCTGAAGATCTGATCAAAGAAGGCTTTGAAGTGTTGGAGGAGTTCTTTGAGATGCCTGATGAGGATAAGGCCATCCTTTACTCGGAGGATCCAACAAATAGATGCAGGCTTTCGACGAGCGGTGTAAACTATGCTCGGGAAAAGGTTCACCTCTGGCGTGACAATTTGAAACACCCTTGTCATCCTGATTTACAAGATTGCATCCAACTTTGGCCTCAAAAGCCAAAAAGATACAGGTAAAAAAGCAAACCCCAAATTTTCTCTTTTTCTTTCGTTTTCTCAGTAGAACTTTTCAGGGAAAAAGTGGCAAAATTTTCGATTGAAGCAAAGAAACTGGGTTCAAGGATCCTGGAGATTGTTGCTGAAGGGTTGGGGTTAGAACGTGGATACTTCGGGGATAAATTAAGTGAATCTATGTTGCTATCGGTTAACCATTACCCACCCTGCCCTGACCCGAGTTCGACTCTGCGGATATCGAAACATTGCGACCCTTATCTCATAACCATCCTCCACCAGGGAGGTGTAAACGGGCTCCAAGTCTTCAACAATGGAGAATGGATCGGTGTTGAGCCTTTGCACAATGCTTTTGTGGTCAACATTGGCAACCAGTTACAGGTACACATGTTTCTGCAATAATGTTGCAGATCATGTTGAGCTATAGTTTAGCGACTGATATTTTAATGGTTGGTTTTTGCATAGATCATCAGTAACGACAAGCTGAAGAGTGTGGAACATCGGGTTGTAACGAACTCGAATCTTGCTCGAACATCGGCTGCGTTCTTCATTGCCCCGTCCGGTGATTGCGTCGTAGAGCCGGCGAAATCTCTTATGGGCGACGCTGCAGCTTATAGAGGTTTCGTGTTCAAAGATTTCCTGCTTCACTACTTTCCCAACTTCAAAAACAATCAAGTGGTCATGGAGCGTTTTAGATCTTAACCTAGACTAATACAAGGTTCATTTTATAAATAAGTAGGCCTGAGTCAGATGCATCTACTAGATTTTTATTTTAATAGCATTATAAATATTTATTTACGAGTTAGCATTATATTTTTACATGTACAAATAAGATCTATAATGATATTTAATAAATCAAATATTATTTAAAATTATATTATATATTCTTAATGTTTTTTTAAAAGAAGAGATTTTGGAGACAAAATATTGATGAAAGTATAAAGAAACTAAAAATAATAATTAGGAAGAAAGAATTTATAGATGGTTTAGAAATGGGGGTTAAATTTAATAAAATATAAAGTTGAGAGATTAAATTATCAAGAGAAATTTGTTGTCAAAAATAAGAATCGAGGTTATATAAATATTCTAAAGTAATTTACGAGTATTTGATTCAATTTTAGTCAAAAATAGACTTAAAATAAAAATAATAAAATTAATTAGTTAAAAACCAAAATAACAACATTTTAATTTTTAGTTATTTAAATTTTATAAACATAAACTTAAAATCTATATTAGAATTTAAATATATGTTCTTATATCTTAATTTAAATAAGGGTAAACTACATTGTTTCTCATTAAACTATATTCTCTCTCTTATTTTACTCACTTTACTTTCAATTTTCTATTTTGCTCGCTAAACTTTGACATTGCTTCTGTTTTGATCATTCTGAATTATTTTATTTTTATTTTTGCATGACATGTCATTTTTATTATTTAATATAAAATAATTAAAATTATAAAATAAAAGTCAAAATGTGGTCGGACGCCATCTCTGGCCACCGTCGACAGTCGTAGATGGTGGTCGTTTAGTCCCAAATTTCATGGGTTTGTTCATCTTGACCCCCTGAGTCCGAATCTAGTTTTTGTTTCACCGTAAAATGTCTCAAACCCCGAATCTCAACTAAAACATTTTAGCTTCCTCACTTTCAATCTCTAATTCGTGGACTTTGGAACAAGTTCTGAAAAAATCGAGGTCAAATTTATACTCACAGTGTCGATGCGAACTGACCCATGAAATTTGGGACTGAACGACCACCATTTACGACGGTCGACAGTGGTCGGGATGGTGTTCGGTCACATTCTATTTTTACTTTATATTAAATAAAAAAACTGTCATATCATACAAAATAATAAAAAATAATTCAAAGTGATCAAAATATGAGCATTCGAAAGTTCAGTGAGTAAAACAGGAAAATTGAAAGTACGATGAGTAAAAAAGGAGAGAGAGTATAGTTCAGTGAGGAATATTGTAATTTACTCTTTAAATAATTTAAAATACTGTAAATTAATCAAAATAAAATCAAATTTTGTTTATATATCCATAAATTTATGGGTAAACTATTTGTTTAGTACCTAAATTATTAGTTTTGGACTATTTTAGTACCTAAACTTTTAATTTTTTCAAAATCATATCTTAAGTTTAGCTTTTGTTTCATTTTAGTTCCTGATCATTAAAAACTTTAGTTTTTTTGTTTTATTTTAGTACTCTTGTTCAAAATTTAAGGTTAATTTTTGACAAAATCAAAAACTTAGGTATTAAAATGTACCAAAACTGATATTTTAGGTACTAAATACGTTAAGTTTTTAACGGTTATACTAAAATGAAATGAAAGTTAAATGTTAGGTATGATTTTGAAAATATTGAAAGTTTAGGTATTAAAACGGTTAAAAACTGATAGTTTAGGTACTAAATGTGTAGTTTACCCTAAATTTATTTGACTCTGTCGCTTTATCACTTTACTTGGTCAAGGTTCCAGTGCAGGTAGGTAGGCAAATGAAGCCCAAATGTAATTTTGTGACCCACTTGCGTCTTAAACCAGACTATTTTTTTCTGTGCATAAGGTTCATACTACTGCCACCACATTGATCATCGTTCACAACAACAGAAATATCAGACATTCAAGAGATGGAGAAGCTTGTTTCAATCTGGTCCAAAAACAGACCCTTGCCTGAGTCTTACATATTCCCACCAGAAACAAGACCCGGCAACCTCGACGTTCCCACTTCCAAAGCCATCCCAGTAATCGATCTCCGTCAAAATCGAGCCGATGTCGTTCACCAGATTCTGAAAGCCGGCGAAGAGTATGGATTTTTTCAGGTAAAGAACACAAGAACGATTATCAGTTTCTCATGACCTATAAGAACTGTTTTGATTTTGATCTTTGTAAACAGGTTGTTAATCACGGAGTTCCAGAGGATGTGATGAATGAAAGCATGGGTGTATTCAAGGAGTTCTTTGAGATGCCAGCTGAGGATAAGGCCATGCTTTATTCGGAGGATCCCAGAAATAGGTGCAGGCTTTCGACAAGCAGTGTAAATTATTCTCGGGAAAAGGTTCACCATTGGCGTGACAATTTGCGACACCCTTGTCATCCTCATTTACAAGATTCCATCCAACTTTGGCCTCAAAAGCCAATTAGATACAGGTAAAAATGGCAAAACCCCGGAATTTCTCTCTCTATTTTTCTTTCGTTTTCTCAGTAGGAAAACTTTGCAGGAAAGTGGTGGGAATATTTTCGATTGAAGCAAAGAAACTGGGTTCAAGGATCCTGGAGTTAGTTGCTGAAGGGTTGGGGTTAGAATGCGGATACTTTGGGGATAAATTAAGTGAATCTATGATGCTATCAGTTAGCCATTACCCACCCTGTCCTGACCCGAGTTTGACCCTGGGATTATCAAAACATTGCGATCCTGATCTCATTACCATCCTCCACCAGGGAGGTGTAAAGGGGCTCCAAGTCTTCAACAATGGCGAATGGATCAGTGTTGAGCCTTTTCACAACGCTTTCGTCGTCAACATTGGAAACCTGTTGCAGGTACACATCTGTTGTTTCTTTAATCATGTTAATTATGGTTTACTGATTCATATTTCAATGGTTGGATTACATAGGTTATAAGTAACGACAAGCTGAAGAGTGTGGAACATCGGGTTGTAACGAATTCAAGTGTTGCTCGAACAACGGCTGCCTTCTTCATTTCCCCATCTGATGATAGCATCATAGAGCCGGCGAAACCTCCTGCCGGTGACACTTCGGTTTATAGAGCTTTCGGGTTCAGAGAATTCATGCTTCACTACTTACCCAACTTGGAAAACAATGAAGTCGTTATGGAGCATTTTAAATTGCAAGCTTAGTCGATAGATTTTAAGAAATATGATGCTAATCCCACTCTGTGCGAGTATATTGTATTTCTAATATTATCATCTGTAACCACACCTCTCCTGTTCCTCCATTGAAATCCCACGTTGACCATTTCAGTTGTAAGCTGAACTCGTTTTAGTGTTATAAATAAAAGAAGCTGAGTTAGGAGTTATGTTAATGTTACAATCAGGGTCTACTTTATACTGGTTTAGTATAGGTCTTTCTCTGACTCTTCCCAATCCGAAAGCTCTCCGCTTCCTGCAAGTCAAAGAAACAGGGAGAAAGCAAATTCGGGATTTTTTGAAACTGATTCAGCATTCCAAGGTAAACAAATTGATGCTTCGAAAATGATTGAATGAGTAGGGATTTGTGAAACCCCACATACCTTTTGATTTGATTGAAAAAGAAAAAGGCTTTCTTTTTTCAGAACCAATGCTGTATTTTTAAGTTTGAATTATGGATTTATCAAATTTTATAAGTTTTAGAATTGATCATGTGAAGTAGCGGTTGCCTAATTACTAGAAAACTCTTGATTTTGAAGCATTGGGGCACTTGTTCTTGTGCTTTTAAACTTTTGCATATTTTCAACTAAAGAAAATGCCTGTGGTTCCTTGTTTTCCTCTGCTCAACTGCTTTTATATGCTCGATGTTCCACTCGGTCGAAAAGATTTTCGTGCTTATCCATATTCTTGTGTAAGAGTTCATGAAACTATATACCTGCTTTTGGTACTGGTTCAATTACAGTCTCTTTGCATTTGGATGTTTCCTTGAGGCAGCGGAATTAAGCAATCAAGTTAGTTTGCTTCAGTGCGTTGAAGAATATTTTAGGTCTTTGTATCTTTATGATTGGACGAACAGATTGTTGAACTTTGTGTATGTATTATATTATGAACATAACTTCAGTTTCTTTCCTTCTCCATTTGGACAGGTCTTGCAGATCTCAAATCTGTGTAAGGTTTTGAAATGGAAAGAGACTTACTGGAGACTGATCCAGATGTATGACAACATAGTTTCTTGCGGAAATGCATTTTTTTTACGTTCTTTCTGTCGGTCCGGCTCCTAATCATATCGCATTCATCATGGATGGGAACCAGAGGTACACAGAGGTCGGGTTTGATGCAAGGAGCTGGCCATAAAGTTGGATATTCAGCTCTCATGTCTATGCTAAAGTAGTGCCACGAATGATGAATCTGTAATGGCTTAGCTAAGACCTCCATTGATGAATGATGATGAATTACTGTGTTAATTTACAAGCAATCCAAGGATTTTATCTCTCGACTTGGGCGTTTTTCAACCAATGAACTAATCGTTCTTTTTGATCGAGCTTTTTACTTTGTAGCATTAAGACAAAATTGCAGAAGCTGTGTTTAACTTTCTATTAGCTCTTCCAAGAAATATTTCCCCCATCATAATCATCCACAAGTTTTATGAAATTCATCTTGCATCAACAGATTGATGATTCTTTATGTAATTCATCTTTGAGAATTCAATTTTATTTGGACAAGAACAGGAAGCTGCCATAGAATATTTCCGGAACATTATTCACTTTGTTTACGGACATGATACTGCATTGTTTTATTAGGGACGATCCTACCGACATAGTTTGTTCCGATCACAATACTAAATCAACTTATACTCAAATTACAACCGTAAGGATCGAAAAAACCGAAATGATCGATAATAGTTGAAATGGACTTAGAAAATGTTAATGCATATGTACCGATCATCCTCTTTTCGTACATGAATCATACATAGAACAGAATCAAATAACACGGTAAAAGAGATAAAAATGTAATTAATAATAAAAATAAAAGATAAATTGAAAAGGCTCAGAGTGGATTTAAAGGAGTTGAACAAGGCTCATTTCTCTGATATTTTGGGGAGGGTGAAGGCTAAGAGGTCCCAGTGGGAGCAGGTCCAGTTAAGGAATCTTGGGCATGATAATCATCGTATTTTGGAGGAGGAGAGGGCTATCTATGCTGAGTTGTTAGAGCTGGAGGCTACTGAATCTTCCTTCTACAAACAGAAGGCCAAGTTTCATTGGTTGCAAGAAGGTGATCATGATCCTAAATTTTTTCATTCTGTTGTGACTCGGAAAAAGAAGAGGAATACAATTCAATCGCTCTTGGATGATAGAGGTAACAGGTTGGATAATTTTGACTTGATGTCAGCTGAAATGGTTCGTTTTTCACTGATCTTTTTGGGTCCCCTGATCCCATGTTAAGGACTGTTCGGTTGACATACTTAGGGATCTGTTGGGCTATGTGTTACCTATTGGTGCTGAGATGGATTTGGAGAGAGAGATTTCCAATGCTGAAATCAAAGAGGATTTGAAAAATATAAGTGATCAAAGTGCATAGAGCAGAATCGAAATAACACCGTAAAGGAAATAAAATGTAATTAATATTAAAAACAAAAGATAAGATTAAAATAAATTAAAATTATATATATGAAGGTATTAAAATAATTTCCGCATATTCATTAAATAACAATAATATAATAGAATTATCTCAAAGAATTAATCTTTTCTCATACATTAAACCTTAAAAATATAATATTGATACATGTGAGTAACATTCTTTTGATACTTCCAAAAGTGTTAATGCGTATTTTGCTTGTGCTTAATGGTTCTCAATTTCACTAGAAATTATATAAGAACTCGTTCCAAGCGAATTTATTAAAGTGTTTCATTAATAATGGTGTGTCGGAATTTCGTGTTCTTTTTTACTCTGCGTCAGTAATTCCATTGTTATTAGTGAACAATGGTGGAAAAATTCCTTCATATTTGTTTCATATTCATAGAGATAAGAAACATAACGCACATGGATATAGTAAGTCTTGCTTAGACTACTTTAATGGTAGTCTTTACATTTTCCCTTTCACTCGTAGTATGGGGAGGAAGTAGGCTCTAGGGTACTCCTAATTGGGTTGATGAATCAAACTTTATCAATTCTTTTCTATATAATTTTGCAAAGTTTTTATTCATAACATATCAAATGATTTCAATGGATTCAAACAATTGTATTTATAGGTGTGTACGTTATTAATTACTATGAAAATTTCTTAACAGGTACTACCTTCTGATTCCCTGAAATTATTCAAACATACATATATATATATATATATATATATATAATAAATTACAAAATCTCTAAAATGACAGCAATAAACATATTATTGTGGCTCTTTCTACCTTCGTATCTTTTTAGAGTCTACTCTACATGATGTTGAGAACTTTAGTATGGTCCTCACCAAGTGACACAACCATGATGATCATACATGTTGACGCCATCAAAATCACCTCACCCCGCTATACCAAAGCATGACATTTGTATTTATATCTAGTACCAAACGAATCATATTCTTACGTAAGCCATCGGACATCACCCCGAAAATCGGGCTTCACGTGCATTTTTCTTTTTTGATTTTATATGTTCATCTCCCCGAGGAATAGATCTAACCTCGCTACATACTATTGTTTTACCTGGATTTAATTAATGAAAAGTCATAACTAAGAATATTCATTATTATGTCTATGAAGACGACGTTGGACTAAGCTAACGAGATGGACTGACCTCATCGCTAACATCACTCTTGCTTACGTAAACAGAAAAGTATCCATGCACAACTCATAGTTTGTGTTGTTTCTTCCTCCCTAATTTCTGCTCTTTAATGTGCTTCGTATAGGGTTGGACCTTGTTATACTCTTCGGAGATCACCCTTGAAAATCGTAGGTAGAATTTTTCGTCTGTCAAAGTTTTTAAGAAATTCACATCTTCTGAACACGAGTATCATAGTCTCCAATCAACTTCTAAAGATGTTATATTATTTAAATTCGACCCGAAAAGAATTTATTATATATATATATATATATATATATATGCCCACGAAGTTGGTCAAATCCAGGAATGCTCAGCGGGCAAACATTGTGGAAGAGCAGCCAGCCATGTGCATTGAACTTGGAAACAAGGAATTAGACCTCGTGGTACACATATTGTATTTAAAGGTTTCTTTTACTTGAATTCCCCATCTTTACCTTTCAGCTAGATTAATATATGTATTAATGGTACCCCATTCTCCCCCACCCCAATAGCCCTAATTTGCTTCGTTTTTTCTGGTTTAATTTTGATTTCTAGAACAGTTGTTGCCAGTGGAAATTGTTTAGGGTAATGGTAATTTCTTGGGTGATCACCAATTCATTGCTAATGAATGGATCAACTCTATTATAATAATCTCTAGCGAATCAAAGGCCATGACTGTTCACATCAATGGAATAAATTAAAGGAAGGACCACCCTTGTTTATGTCAACAATAAATCCAAATATTGTATAGCCATGATCCCAGGGTATCTGATTCCACCTAATAACAACACCAACACCTCTGGGTTTTTTTTATTGCAATTAAAATAGACTTTTCGTTTCTTTATTATTATTTTTATCGATTTGATTAATGAAAATACCAGTAATTAAGAGTCATAATTTCCCATGAAGATGACGGTGTTAAGTTAACGTAATGGACCTGACCTCATTGCTAACATCACTCTTGCTTATGCAAACACAAAACATTCTAGTGATAATATTAACAATTAATTAAAGGGTATACCCTTACTTCACTTAATTATGTGTTCGATGATAAATGAAGTGTTTTCATATAATTTAATCTAAGAATTTAGTCATTCATGTTTAAATTTGCTAACAATTTAGTCTTTATTCTTAGCTTGAATTGCTTGTTACAGAAAATGTTATATTACTTTTCTGATATAATTGTCGAAATCATTTTCGATGATTCTAAAATAATATGGTCTTGAAAAGTTCGATAAAAGATAGAATCGTTATCAGTCGTTTTCGGGCTAGGTATGACCGAACACTCATAATTAAGTATGTGTTTGATACCAAAATCAAAGTCAGACTCAGGGCTCAATTATGCGTGGGAAAAGTTAATGCACCTCATTGCACTCAAAAATTGATACCTTAAAAGAATGATCATGTTGTCTCATTTTTTAAATAATAAAACTTAAAAAATTATATGATGTGTGCCCTTCTAATTAACTGAAGCATACAAAAAATATAAGTTAATAATCATAAGAATAAATAAGTATAATAACACATGTTATATTAAGGGACCAAATTGCAAAATAGTAAAAAGATAAATAGGTTATATTATCATAAAAGGAACGAATCATCTCGGGTTAAGGGTGTGGATTGCCTGCCTAAAATAGGGATCGCAACGGGCCGGGTTTGGGCCGGGTATTGGTCCCCCGTCCCCGTTTAAAAAATCCGTACCCGTTCCCGCTTAAAAATATGCGGGGATTTAAACGGGGATCTCCATCGGGTAATCGGGGAAAACAGCGGGGAAACGGGTATCCCTATTTAGCATAAACAGTTATTTAAACAGGTATCGGGTGGGGTATCGGGCCGGGTATATATATATATTTAAATTAAATATATAAATATTATATATATTTTTTTAATTTAAATTAAATTTATTAATATTATATATATATATATATATAATTATTTTTAATATTTATCGGGCCGGGTTTCGGGCCGGGTAATCGGGTAATCGGAGATTATCAAACCCATCCCTGTCCCCGTTTAACATAAACGGTTTTTCCTCGTCCCTGTCCCCGTTTAGCATAAACAGTTTTTCCTCGTCTCCGTTTAATTCGGTTTTCGATTTTCCCCGTCGGGTTCGGGTTTTTTTGCCATCCCTAGCCTAAATCATTGTTGTTTTGGCTAATAACCTATGAGTCCAAAACTACGATGTTTTGGATTCTTATTTATCTCTTTTCACTTTATAAGATAGTATATGTTTAGGATTTTTCTTAATCATTGACAATGCACATATATTATGTAGACGTAATTGCTCGAATCATGACATCTATAGAGAAAAAAAAGACACTAGGGCCACTTGATAGATTCTTAACTTTAAAGATCAATGAAATGTTTATAATAATATTTCTTTTGTATAACTATCGGTATCCGATCTATTGATCAACTAATTCAAATTGGGTACTGCAGCAAGGACGACCTTCACAACCCAGTTTACTCCATTGACAATCGTCAGAATTCAAACTCTTGATCTTACTTAAGGGATCTCGTGTCTCATTCCACTAGACCAACTAGTTGTTGGTTTAATCGAGTGATTAACTATAATTTTAAAAATAATCCTAATACATAATCTAGTGGCATGCCATATATTTTACCCTTGATTAATTCAAATGATCAAGTAGGCAAGTAGAGTATCTACTTGACTTCAACACCAACTTTTCTCGTTGAATCAAAGAATGGAGTTTTTAAATAACGAATTGATCAAGGAGAATAAGGTTAAACAATTGCAGACAACTTGTTAAAATATACTGAGAAAAAAGTGAAATTCATACTTTTTCACATTGCATGAACCCTCATATTCGCTGCGCCAAAATCTGTGTCCCCAAAAGTTTATTGGATGGGTTTATGCCTGCCTTGCTGTGGGCCAATGGGTGTGCATTTGGCACCTGCTATAAATGGCAAACTCCACTTGTTCTCTTTATTCAGAGCTCGAACGACGCCATGGAAGATGACAACAACAACAACAAGACGAAGAGATCGGGAGAGGGGGAGTCCAGCACCCGGTACAGAGGCGTCAGACGGCGGCCGTGGGGGAAATACGCGGCTGAGATTCGGGACTCGACTAGACTAGGAGGACCTCGGCTGTGGCTGGGGACTTTTGATTCGGCGGAAGAGGCAGCTCGAGCTTACGATAGAGCTGCTTTCTCGATGAGGGGTGCTTCCGCTGTTCTCAACTTTCCGGATGAACATATGGTTTCACCCACCACCACCACCGCTAATTCTCCTCCGCTACCGCCGCCGCCGTCTTCTTCTTCTTATACTGCATCAATGGGTTCTTCTTCTTCTTCTACAGTGAGAGGAAATGTGGAAGGAAGGAAAGACGATGAAGTTCTGGAGTTGGAATACTTGGATGACAGATTGTTAGAGGAACTTCTGGATTTTGGAAATAAAGAAACGAAGAAAGACTGAAACATCTTCCATCGTCTTCTTCTTTCTAACTCTGACTTGCTTCGCCAATAATGTATTGGTTATACCCGGAAATAATATGGCCTGAGCTTGAACTTCAATCCCCCCCCGGTTCATTTCTAATCTTCATAATATGTTGTTTTTTATTGTTATACATGATGTAATAATCAAATACCTAATCTTTTAGTATAAATATAAAAAGTTATGTTAGTTAATAAGTTGTTTGTATTTAAAATTTTAGCAAAACAATGATTCCTTTTACAGATTTTTATTTAATACCTTTTTTTTTATCGAAATAGTAAAAAAAAATCTTTTGGATAACATTTTCGCTTTTCCTTCAATTTTTTTAAAAAATGAGTTTATCTCTTCTTCTATTTTCATTCTTGATCGATAAGCGAAGGTAATGATCTTTATGTTGGTGGTAGTCAATATTTTTATGGGTTAACTACTTTAAATACCATTCACCTTTAAGCGTGGGTTCCTTTATGTCAATAACGTTTTAATTTTATCAATTTTAACACTAACGTTTATGTTTAGCTATATTTATGTCATTCCGCCGTTAATTCATTAAAGGAGCGATGACATGACATCTCTGTTTCGTGACGGCGATGACATGACTCCCTCATCAAAACGAAATCGTTTTGGCAAGACTATTTTGATGCTCAAAACTATAAAAAAAAGACGTCGTTTTGACATGACCATTTTAATGCTCAAAAAGCTCAAAACGACGTCGTTTTGTTGATGATAAAAATGGTTTTTATAAGATTCAAACTGTAGACTTTTAGAATCTAAAGCTAAATACCTAACAACCAAACTAACTTAAGAACCTGTTACAACCTTAAGAAAGCTATTATAAATGTTAAATAACAGTTTGCATTTTTAGTTTTTATGAATACAAACTAATAATCTTCATCTCCTTCCTTTCTTCATCAAGAAAACTCCACCAACGGTTTCAACGAGGGATCAGCAAAATCAAAGGTAAAAAATAGCATAAATTCCAACAAAGTTACAGCAAGAAAATAGAGAAGAAAATGATATCGCATGCCGCAAATCAAAGCAAGAAAATAAAGAAGAAATTCCAGCTAAGTTACAATAAGGAAATAAAGAAGAAAATCAAAGCCAAATAATAGCAGAAATTCTAGCAAAGTTACAGTGAAAAAGAGAAAATAATGTGCATGCCGCCATTGAAGAGAAAACAAAGCTATTGCAACATGAACAAAAGATAAAAAAGAAAATGAAAGAAAAGCGAGAAGGAAAGCAAGCTTTTTCTTTTAAGAAAAAAAAAATGAATTCTAGGTTGTGATGTTAAAGATAATGATTGAAAAATAGTAGGTAGAACTGTTATGGATGGAGGATGATAATGAGGGTGACGGTGGTTGTGATAAACATTTATAATAGTTTTGTTAAAATTATACTAAGTTCTTAAATTAGTTTGGTGGTTGGGTATTTAGCTTTTGATTTTAAAGGTTTACGATTCAAATTCCATGAAAATCATTTTTTTCATCAATAAAACGACGTCGTTTTGAACTTTTTGAGCATTAAAATAGTCGTGCCAAAACGATGTCGTTTTGATGAGGGAGCCATGTCATCGTTGTCACGGAACAGAGATGTCATGTCATCGCTCTGTTAATGAATTAATTTTGGAGTGGCATAATTACAACTAAACATAAATGTTAGTGTTAAAATTGTCAAAATTGAAACTTCAGTGACATAAACGAGCATGCGCTTAAAGGTGAGTGGTATTTGAAATAGTTAACCCAATTTTTAATTTTTCTTTTATTGTCTTATATCACATTTTTATCTCTTTTATTTTTAATTTTTCAATAACTCTGTCTTTATGACCGACTTCTTCTATCTTTATGACACATTTTTCGACCGTTTGGTCGTTATTTTAATTTATATTTTTTCTTAGGGTTGGATTTGAGATCGCCATAATTAATCAAGATGACACTTATTTGTTATCATGCTAATCTTCCCCACTTTAATCCCTTAGATTGAATTTGAGTATGTGATTTGCGTTCGTGAATAGTTTTTCACTTCACTCAATTCTGATTTACAGTTTATAGATAGTCTTTCAGTGATTTATTTCCTTTTGTGGTTCGTTTACCAATGTAGTTAGAACAATTCGTATCTATATAGCATTCAAGTTTTTTTGGCTTGGTTTTTAACATTTTCCTTATATTATCATTATATGATTAACTTTATTAATGATTATAGGAAAATATCCTAATAATATGATTAATTTATATTTATAATCATAAACATTCATTATAATTTTAAATATTCTCTTTTAAATAAAACTAACCACTCCTATAAAAAAATTCAAAACAATAAATAAACATTTGTAGTGGAGCTCATCAACTGTTTCATAACATAAACTACAGCCCGTTAAGTAAGCTCAATTAATGGGCTTAGCTAGCAACTCAATAAATACTTTTTTTTCAAGTACATATATTATTTTTGTTAGAAACTATTATATTTTGCCAAACACGTAGTGTGAGCGAAAGAAAATATTTTATATAATAATATATTTTAAAATTTATTCAACAATTAATATAGTCCAAATATTAATATGTAATCTATTAGAGACAACTCTGGTCCTCGATTAATAATCATCTGTTCTTTTATTTACAAATTATAAAAACATAAAGTCAAAATTAACATCATATAATTTTAATTATTATTTACAGAAATTGATATTTTATTTATTTTTCAATTGAGTTAACAGAGATTAAACATTATATTTGTAAATGAATTGTGTACTTTGCGTACTGTACAATTGTTTTTAATGTTTAATATTTGTTTGTAGTATATGTGTGGTATATATATACTGTTGGACTTGTTTGTAAATATCTTTAAAATATTATTTTGTATGAATAATTTATGGAGACGTGTCTTAACTGATAAGGAGTGTGTCTCCGACAATTATTCGTATAAAATGCTATGGATTTACTCGAGTAAATATTAAATACATGTATTTTTATCTAAAAACTTAAGGCAATTTTATTTTGTCGGGAGAATCTATGGAAATGCGTCTTAACTAGAAAGGAGAATGATCCCAAGGATTTTTCGTACGAAATGATCCTTTTTATATTCAAATATTTTTTTAAACATTTTAATCATATACCTAATTTATTACAAAAATCAAGGGAATGGTCTTTTATATGAGGAATCAATGTAAACACGCTTTAACTAGCAAGGAGTGTGTTTTCGAAAATTGTTCGTATAAAATAATATCCTTTTAAAATTTTTATTTAAAGAAGGGGTCATAATTTAAATACCATTCAAATTTACAAGTTTCAATATAAAGATTATGTATAATCGTGTATGTACCGATCTTGGGCGTTGTGGGGTGCTCATCATTCCCCACACATAATCGACTCTCGAACCTTTTTTTAAATGAACTTCTGGTTCAGCGAATACTGGTTCTTTTTTTATCTTTCAATTTATTTTTTAAAATAATTATTTTAAAAGGTAATTTTTTAGGTATTCGACCTACCTAACCCAAAGGTCGATGGCGACTCCAAGTTTGTTTTTCCTAAACCCTAAGTTTTAAAATTAAATTGGTTCGATCTCCGTCTAACCCCAATAAGTTTTAAAATATTTATCAAAGATAATATTTAATTTATAATTAAAATTATAAATGAATATAGCTTGAACGATCATATTTTTGTTCTTGTCAATTTGTTTATTTTTAAGCATGTTTACAATTGTTAAGAATTTTATTATTATGTTTGTTTTCGTTTATTTAATATTATTTATATTTATGTTGGTTTAGTGTTTATAAATACATCCATTAAAAAATTTAAAAATTTGTCCATGCCTGCAAACAAACTTTGAATGATCACAATTTCTTTTTTAGATATATAATAATCAAACATAAATATCAATAATTATATTATAAATAAAATAAATATATATGTTCATAAACTGTTAATTTTAAACTAATTGAATAAAAATTAAATTTGTTCATAAAAACCAATGAATCAAATATACTTCATTTCATATTTATTTGTTTAATAAATGAAAATAAATTTTTATTTATATTTATTTATTTAACCTTATAGATAAGCATAAACAAATAATACATGTATGATTTCACAAATAACTGATCAATATAACTTAATTCCCTATAGTTATGTGATATACTACAAGATTGTCTAGACTCTCGTGTTTTACTTGGAATGAAAGATATGAAGTGTGGGGAGCTACCCTTGACCTAAATTATTTATTTAATTTTTTTTTCTTAATTTAAAATTTATACTTTTATTTGATTAGTTCCTTTTAAAAATATAATAGTTCAAAATTATTTTTGATTCTATTTTTGGAATGAAATTATTATAATAAATTTGTTATTATACAATTAGATTTAATTATTAATTCGTTGAGCTATGAATCGCAATTCGTTGAGCTATCAGTCACACATAGGGATGGCAAACGGGTACATTTTCGAGGATTTCGCACCGCATTCGCTCCAATTGGAGCGGGGATGGGTATATTTTAGCGGGTAGTGGGCGGGTGTGAATTTATAAAGCGGTACCCGTCGTGGGTGGTAGGCGGGTAATGGGTTTGAGACATTACCCGCCCCGCATCCGCCCGCCCCACATCCGCCCACCTAGTTAAATATCTATTAAATTTTGGACCATTATGAATTTAGGTGTAATTTTAGAGACTAATTTATAAATTTTAATATTGTATAATATATAACATATAATTTATCCAAATATTAAGGATATTTAGTCTTTAATCTGGTCTTTAATTAAGGAAATATTCGGCTCTTTGATTAAACCCATAATCCCACTAACCACGTCACTTTCCATGTTCTTTAGCCCATGCTGCCCATCCAAACACAAATTAGCCGTACTATAAGCATTAACATCAAAAGCAACAGTTTCCATGTTCTTTAGCCCCTCAAAACTCATATTAGGCGCACTATGAGCATTAACATCGAAAGCAACACAACAATCCAGCTCTGCGACTACATGCTCCCTACAATCTGTCTCCATAACATTCGTAGAGCTACTCTTCTGACAAATTGAAGCATGCGCTGCTACCCCATCACGAACTGTTTGGGAACCAACTCCAACATCCCATTAGTTTGCTGTCAGGCGGGTCTAGATGGGTATGTCGCTAGTGGGTAGTGGGTGTGGGGATGGATTTGAAAATGTATCCGCGTGGGCGGGTGTGGATTTGAAAATTTGTACCCATCATGGGTGGGGGGCGGGTGGTGGATTGAAAAATATTAGGTGAGTATGGGGGAATGGGGGAGGGGGTATCCGCACCCGACCCGCCCGTATATATATAATTTTTAAAAAGAGTAGAAATAATTTTTTTACACTATTATAAACTATGTATATAGGAGATGAAATTATTTTTTTACTAATATAAACTTTGTAGTCTACTTAATTTAATAAAAAGATATAGTTTATATTAATTAAACGATGAAATTCTGCATTTCCATCATTTATGAGATTCAATTTTACAAGAGATCAGGATGAGATAAGATGAAGTATGGATCAAGATTTAAGTGTCCTCAAATCAAATCCCCCAGCAAGAACAAAAGTTGCAAAGATTCAACGAAATTAACGAAAGAAAGAAATTTTTTTTGAAAATGGAGGTAAAAAAACCATGGTTTGTTTTACCAAGGAGCTGCAGTTTCACATGAACTCAACAGTTGTTCCAAGTAATCAGCTCCTAAATCCTCAAACACCAACAAGTTCTGTTGTTGCCTAGCCGCCGCCGCCGCCGCCGTGGCACCGTTTTGCTTGCTCTTCTTGTTCTTGGATCTTTTCCTCAAAGAATATCGCTGCTTGAGAGCCGCAACCGGCGAGCAGCCCTTGCCCTCGTCGCATCTACACTTGATTGCCTGAAGAGATTCCCTGACCGTTTCAATAGGGAAATTGAGAGTAGCCAATGTCCCCTTCATCGAAAACGCCGCTTGATCGTAAGCCAAAGCGGCTGCCTCGGCGCTGTGGAATGTTCCCAGCCAAACCCTAGCTCCATTCCTCGTTGAATCCCTAATCTCAGCTGCGAATTTCCCCCATGGCCTTTTCCTCACCCCTCTGTAACTCTTTACTTTCCTCGGCTCTTCTTGTCGATGGTCGCCATCTGAGCTCACCTCTTCCTCCTTTGCTCCGGACATGGAGGAGTTACTGTTGGACTCCGATGATTCTTTAGGCCTTTCTTCTTCGACCAACAAATCCCTCCAACCACCTGAAAATGACACCGTCGCCGGCGATCCAAACAATGAATCCGGTGATAATACTGCATCACTTGAGTATTCAAACAACCAAGACTCCATATCTGGGTGGTTTTTGTCTTATAAGACCAGGTTGTTTTGTTTGTTGACGACTCACAAACTAGGTTTTGTCTCACAACATTTGAAGTATCTAACCCTATATTTATACCATATTTTTCAATATACTTATTTTTGTTGAATTTGATAAACTGTTTTATTTAAAGAATTTATTTTCCTTCCAATTGAAATTTAATACTTGTTTTCGTAGACAGATTCATTAATTAGTAAAGGAATAAAAATAGTTAATGAAGTGATAAGCCTTAATTAGGAAATAATACATGAAATATGCATTGTTAATGTAACAAATTGATATTTTTTTATAATAACAAATAAAAAAGGAATCAAATGACGTACGGCGGCGGGGGAGTGACGTATTTGCCATGTTATCAGGTTTAACTCGGGCTTTTGTATTAATTTTTGACCATTTTAATGTAAAAGTAATTTTGAAATTTTATATTAAAATCTTATAAATATAAAATTACTGTCTTTTATCTAACTTAATATTCAGTTTACTCTTTTAAGACATGATAACTTTCCTTTTTTAATAACAAATGATTATCGATGTTTTCTTATTACTGAATTGTCATATATCTATAACATAATAATAAAATCGAAAATTCTCAATACACAACGCAGAGTATAATAAAAAAATCAATTTATAAATCAAATGAGTTTAATCAATATTAATTACTCACTTTGTTTTTTTATATTGTAATAGATTCATTCAAATTGAATCTTTTAAATAATATAAACACATAAATTTTATGAGACTAAATATCATTTAAAACTAAATTTAAAAAAGGCAAAAGAGTACCTAAGGTACTTATACTTTTCAAAAAAAAAAATTAATGTGGCCCTCCAATTTTTGCATCCAATGTAGCCCTCCAAGTCAGAAAAAAAAAAACTTAATATGATTATTTGACCAACGTTTTCTGTCGTTGACCAACGACTCCATTACTTTGTGCTGACATGACACGTTAACCAGGCCAACATCCTATTTTTTTCTCTCAATATGTCCTTAGACCATATGTTTAATGATGTTACAAATGATAAAATTATATCATTCGTCACTCAATTATCTTTTCTCATCTATTTTAGTCACAAAACTTTAAAAGTTTTCGATTTAGTCACTCAACTTTTGAATTACTTATGTTTTGATCATCATGATTTATTTTATTAATAGGGTAAACTACGCCAATAGTCACTGATGTTTGGGTAGGTTTTCGTTTTCACCACTAATATTTCAAAAGTTACAAATTGGTCACTAACGTTATCGTTTGTGACAAAATGGTCACTGTCCGTTAACAGCCGTTAAGAGGCGTGACGAAAAATACAGCTGGACCGTTATCTGCTGAGTTGGATCGTTGACCGCCATTTTGACTGCCTTTTCTTCTTCTTCAACCCATTCCCCATCTTCTTTTTCTTTACCTTTCCCCTCGTTCATCTTCTTCACGAATCCAACAAAGCGTCTCCAGTTTTCTGGATGAAACAATGATGGGTTCATCCTCAAGTACGTGAATGCACACATCTCTCTATCGAACGTAGAACCATCAACATCCAACGATGATGCTTGTAAGATCTGCTCGTGGGCGTATTCATCGTAACGGGGAATTGCATTCTCCCCAGCAAGTGGAACTTGCGCTGATGCAGTAGCAAAAGCTACTTGCTTCACCAGCTTCTCAGGTGCACATAGTGCATCTTGAGCATGCTCGTGATCACGCATCTCTATGCAAGTGAAGTTGAAAATGGCACCATGACGTGCTAGCATTTGAGCAATCGAGAGGTAACCGTCTCGGTACCTTGTGTTATAGTACCCTGCTGTGAGTTCAGGAGCATGGGATCGGGTTCCGTAATGCCAGTGGATTCTAGAAATTTTCATAAAGATCTTCACACCTTTGCCGTCAAAAACCGATGTCGCAGACGATAGAATTCTCTCACCGTGTTTTAACAACATCTGATAATACAAGGAAAGGAAGAACTCGCCATATGCACTATTCCAACCACCACATTCTTTCTTGAAAAATTTTACTACATGGAAGTCGGAAATAAAATCGGTTCGACAGCTCATCCCAGTTCCTTATACCCCGGTCTGCGGAGATGCTTCGAGTGGTACCCTAGGGCGCCACCTAGCAAGGAGGATCATGGAGATCGGTGTGAAAGACGTGTTCTCAGTTCCTGGTGACTTTAACTTAACTCTGTTGGATCATCTAATAGCAGAACTTGAGCTGAACTTAGTCGGATGCTGCAACGAGCTTAATGCCGGATATGCATCTGATGGCTATAAGCATGCTAAGGGCGTGGGAGCCTGCGTCGTCACTTTCACTATAATTTGCTTGGAATTCCTTACATTGCTAGAGAGCCAGTGCCATTTTTCTTGCTCCAGTGTAAAGTTCTTCTCTGACTTCTCTTTTTTACAACTTTATTGGTAAAAGATTAATTTTTCATAAAAATTAATTTTAGGAATGAATGATGGGTTGTATAATCTAACAGTACGTGACAGAGATAAGGACTGGTTGATTAATCGGCGGGTGGGTGTTGGGTACTGATTGGTTTTTGTTTTAACATTAAATAGGATTTCTTGCATTTATTCTTGCACAATCAAATTCTTGGAAGAATTCTGTATCATGTGGGGCTCGTCTTCAAGTATCTTCTCTCTTGAGATTTACAACAACAAATATCAGAGCATAGGGCTCGTACTGTGATGTCATGTATTGTGAAAATGAGCAACTAAGAGTTTTGTCACAGTCAAGCCATGGAACGTTTCGACATGGAAGAGTTCTTTCAGCTTTTCATCACATATTACTTTCCTTTTGTCGGACGGATCCTTCACCAAACAGCCAACAAAGTTTGAAAACATTTTAAACACGGTACATTCATATATCCAACTCGAAAAATAGCAGGCAGCTTCATAGAGCACTGGCAAAGAAACTGAGGAGAAATACCACTGTTGTGGAGAACTACCGACAGATCTTTATCCCCCCAGGCATGCCTTTGAAGCATGGGAATGATGAGCCTTGAGAGTGATAAGAGGATAGTGTTATGTGTGTGATAAGAGGAAAAGAAGAAAAGTGCAGAAAAGTGAAGAGAAAGAAAGAAGAATAAAAGTGAAGAAAAAGAAGACGGGGAATGGGTTGAAAAAGAAGAAGAGCCATTCAAAATGGCGGTCAACGATCCAACTCAGCAAATAATGGTTCAGCTGTATTTTTCGTCACGCCTCTTAATGGTTGTTAACAGCTAGTGACCATTTTGTCACAAACGATAACGTTAGTGACCGATTTGTAACTTTTGAAACATTAGTGGTGAAAACGAAAACTTACCCAAACATCAGTGACCATTGGCGTAGTTTACCCTTATTAATATTATATATGACAAGACATTTATTATTCTTATTTTATTAACATATGATTAAAATAATATTAATTAAATTAAAATTTTAAAATTACATTGAAACAAAAAAATATTTCCAAAATTATAATTAAATTAGAAAATATTCCCTCTACTTTATATATTTTCAAATCTCCACTCTCCTCCTTTACCCTCTCATTTCATTTTTCTTCCTTTTCAACCAAAGATTTATTTTTCTTTCATTACCCGGTCAAGTAGCTCATCCCCAGTTTTTCAATTTTTTTTACAAGTTCATCTGGGTTCACTGAATCTAGTAATACAAGAAAGAAAGAAATCTTTGGTCGAAAAGAAAGAATGCCACATCATACATAAATATTAATAAAATAAATCATGATGATTAAAATAGGAGCAATTCAAAAGTTGAGTGATTAAATTGAAAACTTTTAAGTTTAGTGACCAAAATAGAAGAGAAAATAGAGATTGAGAGAAAAATAAGATGTTGACTTGATTAACGTGTTACGTCAGCACCAAGTAACGAGTCGTTGGTCAACGACGGAAAACGTTGGTCAAAAGACCACATTAAAAAAAATTTCTCTAACTTGGAGGGCCACATTGAATACAAAAAAAAGTAGAGGGTCGCATTAATTTTTTTTAAAGTACGAGGAGCTTAAATACTCTTTTACCTTTAAAAAATTATATAATTTAAATTAAATTTCTGATAGTACAATACAATGAGACGCAAATAAAAACTTTAATACCACAGGTGACCGTACATATCTTCCGAACCTATTTATCATAAGAAAGTAATTATAGAAAGAAAAAAAGAAGAAGACAAACTTGTTTCGACACTTAAATAGGAAACTTATGTCACGTGACAGGAGCGTGATCAAGGCGAACAGTGGGTGCCCACTGCCCACCAGCATATGTTGACGGCTTGACGCAGTCCATGACAATTTGACCATTTCATTTGTATTCTAAATCCGGAATCAAGTAATATTATGACCGACAAGACACGCGCAATTCCAGGGTCCAGGAATCGGTTCATCGTACGTGGCCTAATCAAGGTTAACATTATAATTTATTTTTTGTAACCATCGAAGCTCGTTTCTTTATTATGCAAGCCCTCAAACACGACTTGACCGCCCCATCATTTCCTTAAGAAACAGAGAAACTTTTCGCAGATCCCATTATTTTTACAACCCACGTGCCGCCGCCGTAGCCTCCGGCGACCATCTGTCGGATCTATCTGTATTCATTTTCGACTTCACATTAAATTATTCAAAGGTAAAGCTATCTTTGCGACGATTATGTTGACTATTTTTATCAACAAATCATTTTCTGTTTTCCCGATTACCACTTTTTGGCTTAATGCTCTGGAAGTGGCAACTAAGCTTGTTAATTGGTCTAAACTGTGATTAAAGTCCTTTGTTATTTTAAACCACTTTGATAATTGAATATTACAGTCGTTTTCAGAGTGATAATTGATATCTCATGAAGTCGACGGTGACTAACCATTGTTTGGGTAAGTCGATGGTACATTCGTGTTAATAAAAAAGACATGTCGAAATGGGTTTATAAAACTATTAGATACAAAATACAAAATAATATATTCTTAAGTGTCGCTTTCCTGATCTAAATCCAATCATAATTCAGTGGTCAAGGTAACGCTGATATTTTATGGTGGCAACTTGGCTGGTGACGAATAGGGGATGACCGCCGGCCGGCTGGGAAAATATTTTATTTCAATTATTTTAGGGCAACGGTACGGTGCATGAACCAGTGCACGAGCGTAGATTCCTTGAAGAATGCTAAAACATATAGATTTGGAAGGAGCCGAGCTAAAAAAGAAATAAGGGTAAATTATATATTCAGTACTTAAACTATCAGTTTTGATCCATTTTAGTATCTAAATTTTCAATTTTTTACTCATTCTAATTAAAAAAAATAGTTTCTTTCATTGGTGTATCACTCATTTTTTCCCGTTTTTTTTTATCGATGATGACACCAACTTTAATATTATTTATCGATCGCCCATATTTTTTTTATCTTTTTGTTCTTATATCACATCTTTATTTTTTTATTTTTAATAAGTTTGCATGTATGTCATGTTTTCATCTGTCTTCTGGCATGTTTTTCGGTTGTTTGACCTTTTTTTATTTGTCTTATTCTAAGTGTTCATTTGACATCGCTAATATTGATCAATATGACACTTATTTGTTATATTGTTGATCTTCCATGCTTTGGACCCTCGAATTGGATTTGGATATTCGATTGACATCCTGGATAGTTTTACATGTAGCTTCAGTCTGATTTGTGATTTGTCGATAGCCTTTTAATAGCTTTATCCCCTTTGTGGTTTGTTTGCCAATGTGATTATATCTGTTTGTATCTATCTTTCTTCGAGTTTTTTGGTTAAATTTTTAATCTTTCCTTGCATGGTTTTTATGTGATCTTAGGTTGCTATTTTTTATTTTAATAATTATAGGAAACCGTGTAATTATGTGTTTACTTTACAATTATTATTGTAAATCTTTATTGTAATATGAGTTATTTCTTTTTCTTAATAAAATTATTTAGTTATAAAAAAAATTTGGTTGTCATATTGGATAAATGTTTAGCTTTGGTTTTTTTTTTTTTGTGAACTTTTTATTTATTAAAGCTTGATGGGAAAATCATAGCTCAAATATTATTTAAAGCCCAAATTGTGGTTCAAGAGGCTCCCCTTGGTCCAATTATTGTACCTCGACCAATACACTACGATGCTTTTCCAACATATAAATTAGTTATACATGGGATGGGCAGGTCAGGTTAGATCGGATCTTTGCCCATTTGATTAAATTATATAATTGATGATTTAATTAATCTTAAAATATAAAGTGTAAATTAGTTTCCAGCTCGACTTAATTCAATAAAAAAATATAAAGAAGAGAAACAACAAATAAAAATAAAAAAAGAAAAAAGAAGAGAAGAGAGCAGTTGTGTATATATAAAGAAGATTAAATGCTAAACTTAAAGAGGAGAAGAGAGCAGTTGTTCAAAATTAAATTTAATATTTATGTTAATTGCACGAATCAAGTAACCTCAGTGATAAAATGAGTTGTTGTTGTTTCCTAAGGTCGGGTTTAAGCACCAGGAATGTCAGGGGTGTGAGCGAGTGTTCAATGTCAAATGACTAAAAGTTATCTTTGAACTGATACTACCTTGTACTTACCCGAGATTAATGAAATAATATCCGCTAAGGTTAGAGCCGCCGAAGGGGAAACTCAGCAGAAATAGGCTATGATGCATGCACCATGACAGGATTTGCAGCTGCCCACTAACACATTAATAAACACAAAAAATGGGAAACCATAAACCAATCATTTTACTACAAAATTCACATTGCAGTCTTCAGATATAGTTTTGGTCAGCTGCTTTTATTTTTTTAACGTTGTATAAATCGAACTTTCTCTTTAGCAAAATATAACAAATCTCAGGCGTCAAATATGACACACAGCCCCCTTTGTTGTCATGTGGCGGTCCATGTCATATATAAAACCCTATCCTTTAACATTTTGCTTGCCAACCAAGTTTCAAATTCAGATAGTTAACGATAATGGAAGCATCTCAAGGAGGGAAGAGGACTGCGAACGACGGGGGAGTTCGATACAGGGGGATTCGCAGGCGGCCATGGGGAAAGTTCGCGGCTGAGATACGTAATCCGACAAGGAACGGAGCACGACTATGGCTCGGAACATTCGAGACGGCCGAAGAGGCGGCTAGTGCTTACGACCGGGCTGCTTTCGCTTTCCGAGGTCACTCGGCCATTCTCAACTTCCCGAACGAGTTCCAACGTCAAGATACACCACCTTTTTCAGTGTCTGTAGCTTCTTCATCTTCTTATAAATCAGTTGGCATGGCGAATCATCCTAGAGGACAAGGAAGTGAAGTTATAGAATTTGAGTACTTGGATAACAAGTTGTTAGAGGATCTTCTTGAAACAAAAGGAGAAATACAAGGCCCATAGAACGAATTAAATCTTTTTGAGTTGAAGTTTATTGTTTTGGATTAATTCACCATTGAAAGAATATTGTGTGTGCTATTTCACTGTAAGCAACGCAAATTTAATTTACTTGTTTCGAAAATTTGTTTACTTTTTAAAAAAATTAATTTAAAGCACTTTTGTATTTGAAAAGGTAAAATTAAGTTAATAGTATTTGAAATATAACAGGGAAACTTACAAACCACCAATGAATAAATTAAACTAAATAAAAAAAGGAGACTAAATTATAAAAGGGTTAACATATGGGATGAAATTCGGGTAAAAAAGCCCCTTGTAATATGACAGAAAATTATTTGGTTTCCTCTCATATACCTAAACATAACTTAATTTCTTGGATGATTTTACTTGATCGTCTCCCTACTAAAGATAGACTTTTTCGTATAGAGCTTATCAGTGATTGTCAATATATGTTTTGTGATGAACCATTACAAAGTTCCCAATTCACTGAGAGGTGCCTTCTCTTTTCCCTTAGCATTGGAATTCTCTCCTACCTCTTTCACTAAACAAGGTAAATAAATGGATTACTAACTCAACTAAATACTCAATACAATTTAAATACACATCCTATAATTTAAATCCACCCCAAAGAGGGTTATAATCCATTGGTTCTCATACCCTCTTTAAAACCTATTTTTGGCTCTATGAATAAAAAGTTGAGAAATGGAGCTTGAATTGAAGCTAGAGGAAAGAGGATTTATAATCTTATTTTAGCTAAGCCAATCTAGATTTGAAATGTTTGTTATCTTGATTTTGGAAAGGAGGAGGAAAAGAAGAAAATGAAAGGAAGAAGAAGTTTGGTAAGATATTAGGGAGGTTTGGTTCACTTAAACCAAATAAAAATAGGGTTTTTTAGCTTTCAAAACAAAGAATGGGTAAACTACACTTTAAATTCCTACATTTTCCAAATCATAAAATTATCATCATCTTTCATAATTCTTTTGGGCCTAAATCAGCCCAATCCCAAATAAATTTGGTCCAAACTATTTTAATAAATCTTTTAGGTTCTAAAATGGATCTCGGGTTAACACAAACTATTAGCCCGGTTTTCAGAGTGTTACAATCACTCAATTAATAGTTAGATAATTTCATTCCACCTTAAACATATAAAAGTTATTATTACATTAATGTTATACTATTAAAATAACATGAAAAAATACAATTTTTTTTTAAAAATAGACAATTTAGGAGAAGAATGAATACTAAATTGATATAATTTTTAAATGTAAAAATAAAATTTTCTGAATTGTTTTAAATTAAGATTAAATGATAGAATGTAAAATTACTATTATTATATGTGAATAGCTTTTCATGGATACATAAAAGATGGAATTCTTGCTAAAATAGATGTTTTATGTTTACAATTTTATGCCTTGAAGTCTTAATCTAAGTTGAGGGGTAAATAGCTTTTCATGGATACATAATGAATTTCCTTTAAATATAAACAATTGAATTGTTGGCTTAATTACAAAAATATTGTCCAATCAAACTAATTTTCCAGTTTTCATCAAATGTGAGGATCATATGTTGACAAATCAAAGTACAGAGACTATTGTTTTAATTTTTATAAAGTCGAGGGATTGAAATTCAAATTCGACAAATAGTAACTCACGTCACATATTAAAATAATGAACTTTATAGTTTATCCCGGTATATTGAAACGGGAAAGCTCCCCTCTCGATTGCTCCGCTCTGACTTTCCCCGATTCTAGCGCCTTGAATATCTAATCCCCCTCCGCCTTGAATGAAGTTTAGATTCTGTTCAACTGCTTGTCACTCTCATGGCCCTCTCCTTCATCGGTGTTTGCTCCAACAACAAAAATCGTCCTCCAAATTCTCAACATCGGATCCAAATCACCATCATCGAGCAGTGCAGCCACTTCAGGATCGAAAAAAATTTCATCCTAGCATTAAGTGTATATGAAGCCACACTGTAAATCGATTTCTCGTTATAATTCCCTTCTGAATTCGATACATGTACCCTTGAAGCATCATAGGCAGAAGTATAACACAGGAAAACATTAAAAAAAGATAAGTTAATCAGAAATTACTCCAGATTGTTGAAGAGAAGGAATAACTTGAACCAACCTTTACATCAAGAGGAAGCTGGTCGGGCTTGAACTTAGGGTTATGACAGAAAGCAGAACCACCACCAGTATTTCTAATCTCTCTCAAATGAAGCAAATAATTGTAACCACCATCTGGAAACCCTAACTCCAAAATCCACTAATTTAAAACACACGTTATCGTATCCACCTTCGTCATAGCAATTGTTATCGTCGTCAAAGGTGTCGAAGGAGACGGGGTTAGGGTCAACTCCGACGAAGACTCGGTCATTACCAGGTGAGTCACTGTAAAATAGATCGGATGAATCTCGAGCAAGTAGTTGGAACGTCGCCGATTTCTTTTTATCGATGAATTTCTTCTTGCCCATTGCTAGGTATTGTTCAGATAATGAAAAATTGAACGTGAGAATTGACATGATAGATTTATCAGCGCATTGTAAACCCCAAACCTTTAGCAGATTTTTCATCATAAACCCACAAAGTCGAATAAACTCGAAATTCCACTTCTGGTTCAATTTGCCATTATGGGTAATTGGTAAGATAAATATCCTTTGTTCTCATGGGTATAGCTTTCAAAATATAAGATAATGTAATTTGCATGTAGGGTTTAGGATAAAGGATGAAGGTTTGTTTTCACTTTCACGCTGACGAACATGACACAACTAACAATTTAGAAAGAATTGATGGGGACTAAATGAAACTTAATTGTGACTGGTATGGTGTATGGTATTTTTTAGGAGTAATTCTCACTAGGCATATTTGAGTTTGAGTTTCATGTTTTTCGAATTTAAATATCATAAAGACAACTAGTACATTTTGAAATTATGTCAAAACATATTAAGATAACACATTATAAATAAATAATTTTATTTTAATTCATGAACAATGATTGTTATGATTTCACTTGATTATACTTGAAAATATTTTGAAAGAATTTTTATTATTTTTTTCTTAATATTATTTTAAAAATCTTTTTACATATTATATCTTAACTATCATTTTAAATATCTTTAAAAATTATCAGTTGAATATTTTTCTAAAAATTATATTTTAATAAATAAAATAATTATAATTTAATAAAATTTCAAACAAATAATATTAACTATTACTTTAAATATTTAGAAAAAATATTTAAATAACTAAATAGAAATGAAATTTAGTAAATCAACCTTAAATATTATTAGATATGCTAAATAATTATCATTAAAAATATCGTCTTAGTCATAATTATTACGAAATAAAAATTTAATTATTATAAAATTATTAAATACTATTTTTATAAAATTCCAGATAAAAATAGATTAATTGTGAAAAGATAAATTTAGTTGAATAGATTTTTGAAAAAAAAAATAAATAAAAGAATGATAATAAAATCATTATTTTAAATCTAACTATCATAACAAATTTGAAAATTTAAAAAAAAAAAAACCATTTTAGATAAAGTAAACAACTTGTATTTTTTGTTTATAAATTTAAAGTTTCAGAATAAGAATTAAACTAAAATATAACTGCGAAAATAGAAGTTGAGTGGAAGAACTTAAAAACAAAATGATGGTGCGAGACATAGTTATTACTTTGTCAGTTTTGGTGTTGTTCGCGTCCATATTATATCGAGGGGATGCACAATCAAATTGTGATGATACTAGTGCTGGATGTACTTGTTACCCACCTTGTCATCCTTACCTCTATCGAAGCAGAATAAATGGAACATGCATCACGATTTGCAGTTGTCAATGTTTGTCACCACCTTCACCATCCCAAATTAACCCACTACAACCGCCGCCGCCGCCACCAACAACTAAATCAAACCTGCAGCCACAACCACCACCAATGACAAAACCAAAGCCCCAACCACAACAACCACCAGCAGTGCCTAAATCAAATTCGTCTACGGAAGCACCACCAATTCCGACAATAGTTACTCCAATTCCATCGACCCCTCTGAAACAATGTGAAGTACCAATAAATGCTCCATATTTCGTGAAAAGAAGGAAGTTGTGTTGGTGTTCAACGGAAAATTATCGCAATGAGTGCTTTGAAAAGATTTGGAGAGCAACAACAACATATGATGGTTTCATGGAAGTTGATAAAAATTGTTGCGATGCTTTTTGGACGGCATATGAAGTTTGTGGTATACTTTTTAGGCGATATAGATATTTTATCTATCAACTCAAACTACATTGCTCCCAATTTTATTAGGATGAATTATTTTATTTTTTAAGGATTAGGTTTTTTTATTCAACTAGTTTTAATAAGGTCTCGTAGTTCTAAATATATATCAAAGACTTTATTTGGAGTCATTATATTACGTAATAGAATTATGTTTCACTCATTTTATCTTAATAAAATATATATTTATCTTTGAAGTCATGTTATTTCTTAAAATGCTTGTTTCTTGTTGTGTATGTTATGAAAAATGCGACATCGACTCTATTTTTTTAATAAGGTTTAAAAGCTCACCGAGTCCAGTTTGGAATGACATGAAAAAGATTACGAGCTATCAGTTTTAAAAATAATTAACTAATAATAGTATATAATTAAATAATGTTATTAAATATTAATTATACTAATTAAAAATACTATAATATTTTTACGTACTATTTTAAAAAGTACATAGATATTTCTTAATAATTAAAATTTAATAATTAGGTATTCAAAAAGTAATAAATAATGAGAAGTAAAAATATTTTTTTAAATTTTTTTGGACTAATTTTCTCACAGAACTGAGAACAAAATTTAATATAATTAAAATAAATAAAATATTGATAAGAGCAATGAAAATTAATGGAAGTTTAAATCCGGTGACCCCTACAAAAACACAAAATTCTTTTGTAGTTAAATAAAAATAATGTTGTGATTTTACAGTAATATTTAATTATTAGAATAACTAAAATAGAATAAACTAAAAAAAATCCTCAACAACGATTATTCCTTATTTTATATTATTACACCCTTCATGTTTCAACTTCTTTAAAATAAGTAGAATTTGAAAGGAATACATTAGTTAATGATTGAATTTGCAAGATTGAAAAACCTATAGCTCAATGTTGGGTGGCTAAAGGAAGAAGGTTGAGATTTCACGTTCATGCTGACGAACATGACACAATTGACAATTAGTAAGAATTGATGGGGACTAAATGAAACTTAAATGCGACTGGAATGGTGTATGTTATTTTTAGGAGTAATTTTCACTATGCATCTCATGTAGTTGACTACTCAAGTATTATTTATTTTTTAATGGTCTGGATATTCATGAAATATGTCTTTTGAGTTTGAGTTTCATGTTTTTCGAATTTGAATATCATAAAACCAACTATTACATTTTGAAATTGTGTCAAAACATATTAAGATAACACATTATAAATAAATAATTTTATTTTAATTCATGAGCAATGATTGTTAAGATTTCATTTGATAATACTTGAAAATATATTGAAATGATTTTTATTATCTTTTTTTGAATATTATTTTTAAAAAAATTACATATTATATCTTAACTATCATTTTAAATATCTTTAAAAATTATCAGTTGAATATTTTTCTAAAAATTACATTCTAATAAATAAAATAATTATAATTTAATAAAATTTCAAACAAATAATATTAACTATAACTTTAAATATTTATAAAAAATTATTTAAATAACTAAATAGAAATGAAATTTAGTAAATCAACCTTAAATATTTTTAGATATGCTAAATAATTATCATTAAAAATATCGTCTTAGTCATAATTATTACGAAATAAAAATTTAATTATTATAAAATTATTAAATACTATTTTTTATAAAATTCCAGATAAAAATAGATTAATTGTGAAAAGATAAATTTAGTTGAATAGATTTTTGAAAAAATAAATAAATAAAAGAATGATAATAAAATCATTATTTTAAATCTAACTATCATAACAAATTTGAAAATTTTTTAAAAAAAAACCATTTTAGATAAAGTAAACAACTTGTATTTTTTGTTTATAAATTTAAAGTTTCAGAAGAAGAATTAAACTAAAATATAACTGTGAAAATAGAAGTTGAGTGGAAGAACTTAAAAACAAAATGATGGTGCGAGACATAGTTATTACTTTGTCAGTTTTGGTGTTGTTCGTGTCCATATTATATCGAGGGGATGCACAATCAAATTGTGATGATACTAGTGCTGGATGTACTTGTTACCCACCTTGTCATCCTTACCTCTATCGAAGCAGAATAAATGGAACGTGCATTACGATTTGCAGTTGTCAATGTTTGTTACCACCTTCAGCGTCCCAAATTAACCCATTACAACCGCCGCCGCCACCACCAATGACTAAATCAAACCCACAACCACAACCATCACAACCACCACCAATGACTAAACCAAAGCCGCAACCACAACAATCACCAACATTGCCTAAATCAAATTCGTCTACTGAAGCACCACCAATTACGACAATAGTTACTCCAATTCCATCGACCCCTCTAAACCAATGTGAAGTACCAATAAACGCTCCATATTTCGTGAAAAGAAGGAAGTTGTGTTGGTGTTCAACGGAGAATTATCACAATGAGTGCTTTGAAAAGATTTGGAGAGCAACTACAACATATGATGGTTTCATGGAAGTTGATAAAAATTGTTGCGATGCTTTTTGGACGGCATATGAAGTTTGTGGTGTACTTTTTAGGCGATATAGATATTTTATCTATCAACTCAAACTACATTGCTCCCAATTTTATTAGTGTCAATTATTTTATTTTTTAAGGATTAGGTTTTTTTTTATTCAGCTAGTTTTAATAAGGTCTCGTAGTTCTAAATATATATCAACGACTTGATTTGGAGTCTTTATATTACGTAATAGAATTATGTTTCACTCATTTTATCTTAATAAAATATATATTTATTTTATAAGTCATGTTATTTCTTAAAATGCTTGTGTCTTGTTGTGCATGTTTTGAAAAATACAACATTGATTCTATTTTTTAATAAGGTTTAAAAGTTCACCGAGTCCAATTTGGAATGACATGAAAAAAATTTCGAGCTATCAGTTTTAAAAAAAATAATTAACTAATAATAGTATATAATTAAATAATGTTATTAAATATTAATTATACTAATTAAAAAATACTATAATATTTTTACGTACTATTTAAAAAACGTACATAGATATTTCTTAATAATTAAAATTTAATAATTAGGTATTCAAAAAATAATAAATAATGAGAAGGAAAAATATTTTTTTAATTTTTTGGACTAATTTTCTCACAGAACTGAGAAAAAAATTTAATATAATTAAAATAAATAAAATATTGATAAGAGCAATGAAGATTAATGGAAGTTTAAATCAGAAACAAAGGGACACCGACTACCAGCACTCTCGAAGAAAAGAGAATGCAAAACACTTGCCCACCTACACACAGTGCTCACCCAGACATCTGGATGGGTTGACCTCTTTCGACGGACCAAACTCACCACCAAACCACTATGCAATCTCCTGCTGGTACACTTTCGAACAAAACACCAGCACCATTTCAACGCCTTGATTGAACAAATCGACAGGATCGTTTGCGTGCATCACATCTTCGCGTTCGTTTCCGTCGGCATCAACTAAAGCAGGTTCCAAAATGTTCATGGAATTCGCAACTAAATCATCCATGTGCGAGATGTTAAACATCCTCATGTTACTATTCTTGTCCTCGACACGAGGAACATAAAGTTTTTTTGTAGTCTGAGGCATACTAACATCCGGAGCCGAGGAATTGTGCAGAATTTGATATATCAATTTAGAGGTATCAACTTCTCGTAAAGCACTGCAGCTTATATAAGCACATAATCTCTTACTTGATTTGAACCATGAAGCTTCCAAAACTATATTCTGGACTATATCATCTTCTCGGAATCGGAGGGAGGTATCCATCAACTTGAGGGCTTGACGAACTTCGGTGCGGAGGATCCGCTTTTGCTTGTACACGTGTTCGAGATTGTCCGATTCTTGATTGTTGTTGGACATTGCTACAATAGAGGCTGGCTGGCTACTGGTAAAGTTACGTACTCAGAAAACTAAAGTTGACAAGAAGATTAACATAATTTAATTTCTCCAATATGTTCTTAAAACACAAAAGAAAAGAAAATCATCACCGATTTCAGAACTTTACCAATAACATAATTTGCCTAATTAGTCTTTATTTATCATAAGCTTCCAGCTAGTATTTTACAGCCACCACTAATTTTAAAAACTAAATAAATTCCCTTGAGCATTGAGCATGCAGATGCAGTAAAGATCTCTTGATTCTCAAACTAACATTAAAGATGCCGAATAGATATATATATTTGTCTTATATTACAAGATTGAGTGATGAAAGTATAATTTACATTTTCTTTTAATGATATTAGATATAGGTCAATTTTACGAGCTTAATTATTTAATAAATATTAATGGGTATGAGTTGGGTAATATGACAAAATGAGTGTTGGATTTAGTTTATTAGTATAATTAAATTTTAGGATAAATTACACGTTTAGTACCTAAACTATAAGTTTTGATCCATTTTAGTATTGACTTTTAATTTTATTTTTCAAAATCATGCCTAAAGTTTAGTTTTTGTTTCATTTTAGTCCCCGCCGTTTAAAACTTCAGTTTTTGTTTCATTTTAGTACCTCCGTTCAAAATTTAACGTTAAGTTTAGGAAAAAAATTGAAAGTTTAAGTACTAAAATGGACCAAAACTGATAGTCTAGGTACGTTTAGTTTTTAACTACGGGATATGGTTTTGAAAAAATTAAAAGTTTAGGTACTAAACAAATTAAAATTGATAATTTATGTACTAAATGCGTAGTTTACCCTAAATTTTATTAAACTCGTAATATGAATTAATAAAAACATGTAAGGGATAATAAAAATTATATACAAAAGTTGATAATCTTGTATTTGATTCCTAACAACAAATTTTAATTACTCCATTTAAAATTTATATGAAAATATTAAAAAAATTATAATAATATTTGTTATACTTTAAAAAGAATAAATTTTTATTACAGTAACTCAATCAAAGAATCATATACTATATATTGTATATAATTGATTTGATATGTAATTTGAAAATCAATGACCAATTCACTTGACACGATTTAACTATTAACCTCAGCCTACTCGAACCGACTTAATCACCCTGTTTCATTTTCTGTTCTCCATTTTGCGAGAGGTAGCTGGAACGGTGGCTTTGGTTTTGTATCTATAAGCCACCTTCTTGCACTTGTTCACGTAATTATGAATCGAAAAGAGGGTCTTGCCTGCTTCATTTATATAATAAGAGTTCCTAATACTCTGTTTCTCTCCACCTTTCTTTTCCTTCTCCTGCAACATCACCCTGTAGGATCCCTCGTCCTCCGGTACGAACTCTTCTTTGTATGTCACTTCCCATCCCACCACTGTTACATCCCACACCATCGTCACGCCAGCCTGACCATTTCAAAGAAGAACATTTGTCAATGTGAGTCGGATCGAATTTGGGTTAAATTCGATTTTTATGTGTGGTTTACCTGGTTGGCGGGGATTTCGATTTCTGCTGTTGCTTATGCTTTGAGATTAACTTCTGTTGCTTCGTTGTCCAGCGAGAACTCGTCGTCGTTGGTTCTTTTGAGTCCTCCGTATTCGACTGGGAGGCTTTCCGGGGATACGAATCTATTGTTTCCGAACAAACGTGATGACAATGGGAAATTAAGTAGTGTGATTTAAGCAAGAGAATGATGGGCATTTTTTCTTACTTGAGAAGAGTCTCTGTAACTTTCCCTGGCCGGGCAAAAATGGTCTTGGGATTCGCTTTGTGAGTTGTGAGCCGTGAAGAAACGGAATGGGATACATGGTACCATAAGGGAACATTTACTATTACCTGCCATTGTTTTGCAGAAATGATCAGTCATCAACAATTCAATGTGTGTGTATATATATTTATTGATTGTCTTACCGTTCCATGGATGATCTCAGGATAATATTCTTCGAGCATCGTCCGCCATTTTCTATAAGCGGAACCTTATGTGAAGTCCATGGAACTCCTTCCAGTGCATTACCTGGACAATTGAGTCGGCTCCACCGGGTTCAAAGTCGAGTTCTTTGATGCATTTCTCAATGTATAGAACCCTCCATCTTAAAAACTTTTCGCAATTCTCTTCTAAACCAAGAATTTTATTTTGGTTATCTTTCAAATCGCCGTACACATTGTAAAACAGAGGGCGACCTTCCTTGTCTGCGGTTCTCTGATAACCCACTTTCTCGAAATAGGGGCCTAAGTTTTCTTCGAGAATTTCATCGGCCTTGAATTCCCTGCGCCATATCAACGTCTTCTTGAGCTTCTCGAACGCGTTATGGACGTTGTAATTTTCCGATTTCAAGAATTTCAATAACACCATATCGGTCCCCGCATGGGATTTGCTTGGCATCAAAGGTACACCCCAGAGTTTAATCTATTTCGGCTCACCGATCTTGTTTAGGGTTTCATTATGACAGACTTGTGAATCGTCTGGTTTCCCCAGGAGAGAATTCCCTTGAATTGCATCCTCGATTCTACTCTTGAATTCAATCAAAGCCTTATTCCCTTGAATGGCGTCCTCAAATCTACACTTCAGTTCGACCAAAGCATTCTCCGCTTTCTTTTCATCTTCATGATCAGGTAGAGTTCCCTCGTAGTTTTCTTCGCCGTTAGCCTCATCGGCTCGAAGGGAAAACTCGTTTTTCATCTGATCGGCGTCCTGAATCTTGCCGCTGTTCTCCCCCATGACTTTTGTTATTACAGGTTCCGGTCTTTCCTCCGTTGAAAGAAATCAAAGATTGAATGAAGAGATATGAACGAAAAACAAAGCTTCAACCGTTGGTTATCTGGCTCGCTCCAAATTTATAACAACGAATTCCTGGGCCAGGTTTCATGATTATAGGTAAACACAGGTTTCTTTATTTATTTTTAACCAGCTAAAACGGTGTCGTTTGTTAGGAATGGATGCTTGCATCTTCACTTGCAAATCCTTGAAATAATATTTATGTGAAGAGTTAATTGCATCACAAGTCCTCAAATTATGGATTATTCTAAATTAGTCCCTAAACTTTTAAACATTCTAATTTCATCTCTAAACTATGACTCATTCTAAATTAATCCTCAAACTTTTGAACATTTCATTTTCATACTCAACCTATGACCTCCATTCTAAATTAATCCCCAAACTTTTTGAACATTTGAATTTCATTCCGTATATATTACTCACATCTTTTGTTAGTAAAATTGTTAAACCAAGTTATGTTATTATATATTTGGGGCGGGGGAATTAGGTTAAACTATGCTCGGAACTAATTACATATTTGGATGACTTTGGAAATGAAATTGAAAGATTCAAAAGCTCAAGGCCAATTTAGGATGGAAGTCGTAGTTTTGGGGATGAAATTGGAATGTTCAAAAGATTAAGGATCAATTTAAAATGAAAATCATAGTTTGGGAACATATGATCAAATAAACTCTTGTATAAATAAAAAACTATTTTTAAGAGCGATTGCTAAACTCCTAGAGCTAGCTGGATTGATTACTAATATAATTGTGTTGGCTACAATGGAAAGAGGTACAAAAGCCTTCAGTCTCTAACTTACTGCCCAAGCATTTTTGTATTTCAGATACAATAGCATCAAAGGCTTAACTACTAAGCATCTGATGTGCAAATCAATCACATGGTATATACAAGTATTTTTCAACATTGTACAGATAATTAACAAGCCCTGCAACCTGCATTTTCCTTCATGCCTCCTGGTATTTCGTCAAGTCAAAAGTCAACGTTCTCGAGCAGCTGTAAAAACATGGGAGAGGATATTTATATTATTTAGGATTGATAAACTAGGCTGATGCACAAGCAATTTCATTGGACTATGGAAACAAGGTTTGGTGTCGAGTACTTTACCCCATATCTGAATCCCGATAAACCCCGACCAAAGCCTCGGCCTTGTCGTAAAAGCTATCTTTAAGCGATATCACAATACTTTGGAAACCGCTGCTGCCTTCAGTGTCCTGGCTCGCCCTTGCACCATCACATGATTTCGAATGGATGAATCCCGCTACTTTTGCAACGTTTAGATTATCCAATGCGGCATCCACTTCATCCAATATGAAAAAGGGTGAAGGCCGGTAGCTGAAACACGCATGTATGGAGAGAACCAATATTAGCTCATAATAAAAATGGAAAGCCAACCCTCTGATCACAAATGACCTAGCCCATCTTTCCAAGGTAGTCCATCAGACCATATTATAATAAGTTGAATCCACCGCAGCTCTGGATTCAACCGAAAGTTGACATTGGAAAGAATGAATAATCTAAATCTCTCAGGTGTACCTGTGGATGGAGAAGAGAAGTGCAAGTGCTGCAACAGTTTTTTCTCCACCAGATAGTTGTTCCATATCTCTGAAGCGCTTTGTTGGTGGCATAGCTGTGTACATGATGCCATGTAGAAAAGGATCATCCTCGTTTTCTAAGTTCAAATATGCTGTCCCACCCAATGGATGTGTACCACTCATTGTTAGCTGTTTGTAGATCCCATCGATATTACTAGATATGTGGTTGAAAGCTTCCATGAACAACTCGTATCTGCATAATCAAGGAAAGTCAACCAGCAGAGCTTAGAAACGTCTAGACTACAGGTAGTTTCCCACGTCATTTTTCCCTTACGCATATAAATGATATTGAAGACCAAACAGCTTTCGAAAACCATTACAAGATAATCACAATCAAGAAATCAGCAATTCAGCATAAAGTGCCATCGAATACATTATTATATCATCTAGGCACCAAGTCTCAACAGGTTTAATCATTTTAAACACCATTTATCTGTATTTATTTTAATTTCACCTTGCTACTAAGATCAGAGTTGCAACACATTAGTCGTTTAGTACCTCTTCTGCTTAACAGAATTGTAAGCATCAGGTACTTGCTTCTCCTCTTTTCTGGCTAATTCAAATTCTTCAGTTACATCTCTTTCCTTCTCTTGCAG